GGGTCTCCAACCTCCACCGCTCTACTAGGAAGAGATAAGGTCTGTTCTATCTTACAGTGACTCTGATATCTACCCTATAACCAAATCCAACCTCTACTAAATACGGCAAGACACGGCTAGGTATCACTAACTTAAGGTTCATAATAAAATGATCTAATACCACGGTCATTCTCCTAAAAATAAATAATTACAAAATTAATTCTTAATCTAATAATCATGCATTAAATAAATCAACAAATTATTACTAATATTTAAATTAAATTAAAACGTTAAAATGTTACCGTATCAGCAAAGTGTCGAGATATATGATTTTCATCCAAGCGAAGTATATCTCCTTCCATTATATATCGTAAAAAAAATTATATAAGTAAAATATAAATAAATTAAAATATTTAATAAAATTAAATACAAAAATATTAAAATATAATAAAATATACCTTAAACAGATAATATAGAGTATTGAGAGAAGTTGAGAGAATTGGGTGTGATGAAAGTGATTGAAGATTGGGGTATTTATAGGGAGGATTGAGGTGTGAAGCGTCGGGGGGTATGAGGGTAATTAAACATATAGCGCAGGGCATGGGGGCGCGCCTTTCTGACGCGTGGCAGATACATGTAAGACGCGCGCCCCTGATCCGCGCTATACTCACGTGTATTAGATTATATACTATTTTGTAACCACCTTAGCTTAATAAAAAAAACCCTACATGTTTAGTACGTAATTATTATTTTTATCCCATTCTAGTACCTTAACTTTCATGTTTCAAATTATACATAAGGTTTACTTTTGTTTCGTTTTTGGTACCTCAGCGTTAAAAACTTAGTGGAATCGTAACAAACTGATTCTTTTTATGGGTAAATTACACCATTGGTCACTTAACTATTTTCTCACTCATATTTTGGTAATTGAAGTTTAATTTTTTCAATTTAATTATTTAACATTCAAAATACTCCTAATTCAATCACTATAACTTTCAAATTTAATTTTTTTTATTATAATTATAAAATAAGAAAAAAAATCATACCATAAAATTATTAATGAAATAAATTAGAGTGCAATTTGAAAGTTGAGTAGTTAAATTGAAATTTTTTAAACTTTAGTGACTAAAATAGGAGTGAGAAGATAGTTATCCGATGAGTGATATAATTTACACATAAAGATGTCACGTGTAGTAGTTCTGTTAAGTTTTTAATGATGTGGTACCAGAATGAAATAAAAAAATAAACGTTAGATATAATTTTTAAACAAACGAAAGTTTAGATATTGAAATTGAACAAAAAAAATAGTTTAAGTACTAAACATGAAATTTATCTTTTTAATATATATTATTTATAATATTAAGTTTTAATTCTAATCTTATTTAAAGAATATAAATTTTATTATTAAATTAATTAATGGTTATACTCAGTTTTATTAATTTTGAAACAAATATAAAACAATGTCCATGTTTAAATAGTTGTTAATAATCCTCCAACTTTTATAACCCATTTTTAGATAATAATATTTATCCGTACGTGGGGTTAAACTAAGAAAGGAAATAAAATAAGAGATGGGCATGAAAGAGATTTGGAAACGACAAAGAATTGGTATAGTGTTTCAATGTTAATAATTTAGTGTGATTGATGATGCCTGGCTGCCGCTGCCGCTGGCCAATAGGATCTTATGAATTTTGTGTACGTGCTCATTGTGTTCCAGCTCACGTCTTTGTAATCAACCCCCTTGCCAGCCCATTATATGTTAGTCGGAATGATACCCTGTGGCCTGTTCTAGATGGAGTCTTGAGAAACTTGGTCTTCGAAACCGTCCCAAAGTACTAATTTAGATAGTTTTAATGATAAGCTAATTTCAAACATATCGAATGATTCTGTATGACAGCCAAGAGTTTAATTGATTGGTCTGGAAGGCGTAACACTAAGTATGACCTTACCGGATCCTCGCCCTCGTTGTCAGCTGCAACCCAGCTAATATTACAGCCTGTTTCCTCATCCTCTCTCTAAGCTTTCTTTTTTTTTTTTTAGACTACACTCTCTCTAAGCTTTCCTTTTGGCTTACAGATCCCTTTCTCTTTCTAAATTTGCCCTTACCCTTTTTAATGCTTTGGTCGTAGCTCAAAGTCATTAAGGTTCAACGCCAAGTGATTCTCAGGCTTGCAGCGCAGCCAGCCCAAGGTAGAAGAAGAAGCGGAAACAGATCCAAACTTTGAAACACAAGAATGGATCCGTGTCCCTTTGTACGGATCCTGATCGGTAATTTGGCCCTGAGGTTTCCGGCCTCGACAAAGCCCTCGCTTTCAAGGATCCATCTAGTTCCCCGTGTTACTTCAAGATCAAAACTCAGAGCTTCCCTCACCAAGCGGGTTCGGTTCCTGTTATCAGCAACAGCAGCAGCAGCGGCCAGAACCCAGAGAGTTGCAAGGGTTTTTGCAGAAACCGCTCGCTGCGTGTTTCAGTTTAAGCAAGTCTGAGATTGGTAAGATTGTCTGTAAAGGGGGCTCGACGTGTAAGCTTTGTATCGAAGTTTATGCTGATCCCGATGGCAGTACCTGTGGATTGGCGTCCGGGAAGTTGTTGGGGAGGGTTTCGGTGCCAGTTGATCTACTTGGAGCGGAATCGAGGCCGGCTGTTGTTCGGAATGGATGGATTGATATAGGTCGGAATAGAACGACAAAAATGGATCATGTCCGCAGTTGTTTTTAACCGTCAGAACCGAACCCGACCGAGATTCGTATTCCCAGTTTGGTGGCGAACCTGAGTGTAGCCCGCAGGTTTTTCAGGTTCAAGGGAATGTTAAACAGGCAGTTTTCACTTGCAAGTTTGGTTTCAGAAGCTCCAGTGATCGGAACTTGGGATCCAGGTTTGTTTTTTTCCCACTCATGATCGCTCTTTGTTTCTCTGATATTTGTCTCTTGTCGAATTTTCCCCCCCTAAAGTTTCGTTTTTTATATTTGTGTAGATCATCTTCGCCGGAATCAAGTGCTTCAAGAAATTGGCTACCGTCTATGAAAAACCCGATAAAGATCAGTCATCTAAAGAACGAAAAGGGTGGTCCGTTACAGTCCATGATCTCTCGGGCTCTCCGGTAGCAATGGCGTCAATGGTGACCCCATTCGTTCCATCTCCCGGTTCCGACAAGGTCAGCCGTTCGAACCCCGGCGCGTGGTTAATACTCCGTCCGGAGTGTGGGACTTGGAAGCCATGGGTCGCCTCGAGGCCTGGCGTGAGTCTGGTTTCACCGACGCTCTCGGATACCGATTCGACATCTTCCACGACGACATCGCCGCCACAGTCGCAACCACCACCGTCTCCAGCTCGGCCCTCAGCACCAAACTAGGCGGGAAATTCACCATGGACATGACAACCAACGTATTAACCCCGTCGACAAGCCCACAAGGCAGCTGTGACTTCGGGTCAGGGTCACGTCCCGGGTCAAGAGCAGGATCTGGATCAGGTTCGGATTTCGGGTTCGGTTCATCACCTTCCCCTCTGTACAGGGTTGGTGGGTTCGTGATGTCATCGACGGTGGAAGGAGTAGGGAACTGCAGTAAACCGGAGGTGGAAGTAGGGGTACAGCACGTGACATGCACCGAGGATGCAGCCGCGTTTGTGGCATTGGCAGCGGCCATGGATCTGAGCATGGATGCTTGTCGATCCTTCTCGCAAAAGTTGAGGAAAGAGCTTAGACAGGAGATCCAGAACTTGATCGATTAATGTGGTTTTTGTCGTTTTACATTTTGTTTTTTCCTTTTGGATTGAGATTCTTTCGACGTATAGTTAAGCTAACGGCAATTTTAGAGCAAGATGTAACCATTAGTTTTTGTACAGTGCGGATTGACAAGGCAAGGGAAAGTGTGAATTTTTTCGTTGTTTAATTCAAAATTTACCGATTAGTTATTTTATCGGAAATGTTAAAAAATATTAATATTTTAAATAATTTTTTATCGATTTTATTAAAAAAATAATAATAAAATCAATAATATTTTTCTTTAATCATATATTAAGACTGTTGTATGTTAGAACTTCTTGTTGAATTCGTAGAAGGAAATAATGTAACATTAAAACTATATGAGCCTGTAGAGACTCAAACCTCATGTAAGATATTCCTTTGAGACCGAATTTTGCAGCTAATAAACTGTAAAAACAATCAGATATACATCAACGATTAGCCTATGATTTTGTTGTTTTGTTTGATCAAAGACCTGTCAGTTTTTTATAAGTATTAGAGTTTAAGAAAGACATGTCAGCTAGATTTTGAGTTTGGTTGTTAATGTCCTCGGTAAAATCAGAAGATGCAGTGATCTCAGAGATTGCTGCCGACAGCAAAAGGCAAAGCAATTACTCTGGAAAACTTTACATGCAAGTCATCATCGTCTGAAACTTCATTTTCGCAGGCAGACATGGCTGTGTCATGCCATCCTGTCAAGCATCTACGAAGGGACTGAATCAGGGTTTGCAAAGAGACATGTTCACAATTCCCCCCCCCCCCCAAAATTGTTAGTTATACTCTTCAGAGAGTAGAAGAAAGCTATTGTCATAAAATTGTACGGACGGCAGTAGTCCAAGCCAATTGATGGACTTCTGCTAATCAAGGATACTAAATTAAAGTAGAATTATTCAGTTTGTAAACAGATCATGATTGAAGTCGGATGAAGGAACACTTCATTTAACCAACAAATCATGATGCTAAATTACCTAAAGCACAAAGATTAAAGCAACTTAGATGGAACAATCACTTGCAGTAATATTCATGATTTCCCTTATCTTCTGATTTGGTTAACTCGCTTTGAAGATAATCCACAGGAATAATGAAAACCACACTTAAGGAATCAACTCCAAATGAGGGTTAGCTTCAATGATAGGTTGCTGCCCTCACATCTTCCAACATTCCTTTTTGCTTCCTGCCAAAGTTATTCCTCCAAGCATATATATATATATATATATATATATATATATATATATATATATGTATCATGCAGCAACCTATCAATCCGTATTACAGCCTTGGACCAATAGAGCCATGAACAACTGTTTCAAATGCAGGGGCCTAATCATCACCCTTCTTATCTCAATTCTCTTTCGAGATTCTCTAGCGTCGGTTGTTTCCACCGGAGATTTCAACAAAGACTTCTTTGTGATGTGGGCTCCCAATTATGTAAACACTTCATCTAATGGCGGGGAAAGAAGCTTGAAGCTTGATCAACAATCTGGTATGATGGGAACGTGTGAAAATTTCCGCTTCTTTTTCTTTTCTTCTTGTTGGTGTTCGTATTCTTATTCGTCGTGATCGATATAGGATCCGGTTTTGCATCGAACCAGATGTTCTTGTTCGGTCGAATAGACATGCAAATTAAACTAGTACCTGGGAACTCTGCAGGAACAGTATTGGCCTACTATGTAAGCGAAACATTGGACTCTTTTGATTTCCTCCATTTCAGTGCTTCCGATATTAACCGAATCGCTTTGCAATCGCAGTTGGCATCGGATCAGCCTAATCGAGACGAGATAGATTTCGAGTTTCTCGGCAATGTGAGTGGAGAGCCATACATAGTACAAACAAATATCTATGTCGACGGTTTCGACAACCGCGAGGAGAGGATTTACTTGTGGTTTGATCCAACAGAGGATTATCATACATATTCCATACTATGGAACCTTCACCAAATAGTGTAATCTCCTTGTGGTTATTACATGTTTTTCTACTTTACTTCATCAAAACATCATGCATGATCTAGATGGTATCATTTTCAACTTCCTTTTTCTTTTTTCAGGTTTATGGTAGATTCAATTCCAATTAGAGTATACAGAAACCATGCAGACAAGGGAGTGGCATATCCTAGGTGGCAGCCAATGGGCATCAAAATCAGCCTATGGAACGGTGACAGCTGGGCAACACGCGGCGGGCTGGACAAAATCGATTGGTCAAAGGGCCCCTTCATAGCCTCATTCAAGGATTACACGATCGATGCCTGTGTTTGGGAAGGGAACCCGAGGTTTTGTAGAGCAGATAGCACAGATAACTGGTGGAACAAACCCAGAATGAGCAGTCTAAGCAGGGAGCAGAAGAGATGGTTCAAATGGGTTAGGAAGTACCACATGGTTTATGACTATTGCCAAGATCATCAAAGGTTCCATAATAATCTCCCCAAGGAATGCTTCCTTCCCAAGTATTAATACAAATAAAGTAGCTGATGGTTCTTAAAATGGTTGTATAATTTTAATTTTTATAAAATATTAGTCGCGTCGTTCATTCTTTCTTTATCGTTCGATCTCTTCTTTACTTTTCGTTCGTCCTAATTTCCATAATCACCCCCTTACGATACCACAACTATGTCACCACTCATCCAACGATTTTCTCGGACCCTCATCGCAGTTTTGCTCACTCCGCCATTATAGCAGTGAAATTTTATTAACAAGAAGCAAACATGCATATTATTGCCAAAGCCATTACACTGTACGTATATTACATTATATATATAGAAAAAATAACCTCAGTGACCAAAAATCTCAGATAATATACGATTTTGACTAACTTTTTTTGGATTTGCGAAAATGACCAACAAAATCGCAATGCGATCTCTAATTCGCATTGCGATCTCCAGTATCGCAAATTCGCGTTGCATTTCGCGTTGCGATGCGTTGTGATTTTCCAAATTCGTTGCGATAGTTAAAAAAAAATTTTGTTTCTTAAGAATTTTCTCTAAAAAGATAGTATCCGCGCGGACGTGTCGAAGACACGTATTACCACGAGACGAGACGAGACGAGGCGGCGGCGGCGGCGCGCGAGAGTTCCCCTTGTTCTCTTTCACTCAACAAGGAAGTGCAAAATCCAAGCCTTAAATACCATTCCCAATAGTATTTCCAATACTATGTGGGATTGAGCATTACCAATCCTATTGTGAAGATTGTTGCTTGAAGAGTTGAATAACGTTCATTGCCACAAGCGTTGCATGATTGGTTCTAGTGGAGGTTCTGTCGGGTTTGTATTCTTATACTTGAAGAAATGATGATAACCTATGCTACTTAAATTAAGCACATGATATCTACGTATATTACTCTTAAGAATGTAAGTTGATATATATGCAAGCAAAGTCATAAAATTAAAGGACTACTTTTACTTGTTTCAAAACATTGTTAAAAGTAAAAAATTAAAAAAAGTGGGGTAATGCTCAATCTCACATAGTATTAAAAATACTATTGGGAATGGTATTTAAGGCTTGGATTTTGCATTTCCTTGTTGAGTGAAAGAGAACAAGGGGGACTCTCGCGTGCCGCCGCCGCCGTCGTCTCGTCTCGGGTCGTGTCGTGGTCGTGGTCGTGGAAATACGTGTCTTCGACACGTCCGCGCGGATACTATCTTTTTAGAGAAAATTCTTAAGAAACAAATCTTTTTTTTAACTATTGCACCGAATTTGGAAAATCGCAACGACAACTGTAGACTATCGCAACGCGAAATAAAAAATCGCAACGCGATTTTCAACTATCGCAACGCAAAATGGAAAATCTCAACGCGATTTTCAACTATCGCAACGTGAAATGGAAAATCGCAACGCGATTTTCAACTATCGCAACGCGAAATGCAACACAAATTTGCGATACTGGAGATCGCAATGCGAATTAGAGATTGCATTGCGATTTTGTTGGTCATTTTCGTAAATCCAAAAAAAGTTGGTCAAAATCGTATATTATCTGAGATTTTTGGTCACTGAGGTTATTTTCACTATATATATATATATATATAAGAGTATCCTAAATCTCGTATGTCATTCCGACCCTTAGAAGCCTGGATTGTGGTATCATCATCACTTTCTCCCCTTGCCTGGAGTGTTCCTCCTCAGAAAATTATACATATAATCCACAATTATCTTCTTCATGAACGAAGCATTCGGTTCAGCCGTCACTTCAGCTTCCCCTAGCAGGTAAATAACTCCATCATCCTTTGCTTTCTCAACAAACTGCAGCTCCTCCTCGGCTCCCGCTATCGGTGCGGATACAATCCGACTCGACGAGTTCGTCGATCTTGCCACATTGATCGACTGGATGGATGCCGAGGATGTGCTAGATTGAATGATCTGGTTAAGCGTTTCCTCAACAAAAAACAGCCCTTTTGCTGCTTCGTTTCTCTTTTCCTACTAGAGCAGTCGTTTGTTCAACAGGCTCTGCCGCTCCTTCGGCTATGTAATATTCATGACGGATGAATTCCTTCAACTTCTCAATCAGTTGTCGCTCGAACTCGTCGGGGGTTCCCATCGGATCCTTGTTGCCGTATCTTACGACGCAGCGGAACATTCGATGTTCTCTCGGTTTGACGTGTCGGAAAAGGAACTTCTCCTCCAATGCTACTTTGGTGATCGGAAGATTCTTAATTGACACAAAGACTAGAACCGAATGGATGGAAGGTACGCTGGAAATGAAATGAGGTAATATGGGAGGTATGCCCTGAACCAACTCCGAGTACAAAAGACCGACTCCCGGCACCCGATTTATCTTCGGATCTTCCACCAGTTGTTTAACATGTTCATTAGAAACCTTATTGTTCAGCTCGAATTCGTATCTTTTCTGGTTCACGTAGTGCCATGTTCCCATGATTGTCATGAGAACAAAAGACAATGCCAGTGGAAGGTAGCCGCCTTGAACGAATTTATACAAGACCGACGATAGATATGCAGACTCGACCGCACCGAAGAACACGACGAAGAGGAGAATCCACAATATGTTTGTCTTCCATATAACCAGCATGATAAGCGTAACCATTCCTGTAGTACTTGAAAACGGTGACGATAACGCAGGCGATCATGAGCGCGTAGTTGACGTCCGGAATGTAAACCTGACCCTAGTACTTAGCCGAGGTGTGGACAACCTTAACTCTGGGAAAACAACCCAGAGTCAACGACTGAGAGATAATTGAAAATGCCCCCCGGATATCATAGCTTGGCTAGCAATAATGGAAGCAGCAACAGCAACGACAAATGTTGGCCAGTACAATGGATCTACATATCCAAAATAAGTTAAAATTCATCAGAACTGGAAACAGCAGTTTAAATTGTAGTCTGATAAAACTGTAAATGCTAGATTGAATAATACCTCTTCATTAATATGAATGGGAATACTACAAATATATATACAACTCCATTCTAACTAATTAACTGATAATTAGTTACAACTGAAAAAACAGAAATAACAAACTTAACTTCAACACTCCCCCCTCAAGTTGGTGGATGGAAGATATCCTTCATCCCCAACTTGGATACAAGATATTCATGTTGTTGTACTCCCAAAGCTTTAGTAAAAATGTCTGCTAATTGTTCTGAAGAAGATACAAACTCTGTCTTGATAAGCCCCTCTTGTATTTTCTCCCTTACAAAGTGACAATCAATTTCTATGTATTTTGTGCGCTCATGATAAACTGGATTTGCTGCAATCTGAAGAGCAGCCTTGTTATCACAATATAACTTGACTAGACACTTTCTTTCTAGTCCAAGCTCATTGGCCAAACCATTCAACCATGTCAATTATGCTGTTGTAATAGCCATGCTTCTATATTCCGCTTCAGCAGATGATCTGGCTATGACATTCTGTTTCTTAGATTTCCATGAAATCAATGAATTTCCAAGCTTAATGCAAAATCCAGAAACATATATCCTTGAAACAGGACACGCAGCCCAGTCTGAATCACAGTATGCTTTGAGTTCACAGCTGCCATTTGAGTCCATTAGAATCCATTGACCAGGATTTCCTTTAATATACCTCACTATCCTTAACGCAGAATGTAAATGAGACTCCTTAGGCTGTTGCATAAACTGGCTCAAGTAATGCACATCAAAAGTTATATCAGGTCTAGTATGTGTGAGGTAAATGAGTCTTCCAACAAGTCTTTGATAAACACTCTTTTCAACCAACAACTTATCATTTTCATTACACCCTTGTGTGCATAATTCATCATATTCTGATGTAGTAAGCCTAACATTTTGTTCAAAAGGAGTTCTTGCAGGCTTTGAACCACTCATTCCTGATTCCTCGATTAATTCAAGAGCATACTTGCGCTGATTAATTAAGATCCCTTCTTTTGACCTCATAACCTTAAACCCCAAAAAATACTTCAACTCACCAAGATCCTTCATTTTAAACTTTTTGATCAACAAACTCTTCAAATCATTAATCAAACAACTATCATTGCCAGTAATCAACAAGTCATCAACATAAATCAACAAAACTACAATCTTCTTACCCTTTCTCATCGTGAACAGAGAATAATCAAACTTACTCTGTTCATAACCAGCCCCTAAAAGAGCCTCAGTCAACTTTAAATTTCATTGCCTAGATGCTTGTTTTAGGCCATAAAGGGATTTTTGCAGTCTACACACCATATTCTCCCCCTGACTGCAAAAACCAGGAGGAAGTTCCATATATACCTCCTCAGACAAATCACCTTGTAAAAAGGCATTATATACATCAAGTTGAAACAAAGGCCAATAAAAAACAGAAGCAATGGCAAGGAGAAAATGAACAGTAACCAATTTAACTACTGGTGAGAAAGTATCCACATAATCCACACCATCTTTCTGACTATAGCCCTTCGCCACCAAACGAGCTTTGTATCTTTCTATTGTACCCGCAACATTGTACTTAATCCGATAAACCCATTTACAACCAATGAGAACTTTTCCAGAAGGTAAAGAAGCAACTGACCAGGTTTTATTTGTCTCAAGAGCAAGAATTTCATCCTTCATAGCATGTACCCATTCAGGATGTTGAATGACCTCATGATAGGACTTAGGTTCAACAGAATTTGAAATGAAGGAAACAAAAGATGTGTACCACAGGGAAGATGAAAGTAAGAAATGAAATCTGAAATGGGATAGTTGGAGGTAGAAACAGAGTTGCAAATAAAATCATTTAACCATTGAGGTTGCTTAGGAACCCTAGTAGATTTTCTAACCAAGATTGGAGCTACTGGAACCATAGGAGTTTCTAACTGTTGCGATGATTGTCCAAGTTCAACATTGGAAGGAGAAACAGATGGGACAACAAAAAGAGGTTGCTGACCAAAGGAAAGGTCTAAAAAGTCATAATCAGGAACAGAAATAGTGGAAGGAAAGAAAGAATCTGTTTGAACAGGAAAATAAAATGGAAACACTTGTTCATGAAAAATAACATCTCTATTGACAAAAAACTTTTTAGAAGTAAGATCAAA